GGTTCAGCGTTTCCCGCAACAGAAGGCTGCGCCCCAGGAGAGCAGCGGTCAGGTCTGCTGGTGTGAGCGGCGGGGATTCGGGCTGCTGCAACTCTCAGACAACGGTAGCGTCCCAGGGAAGACAAACAGAAGAGAAACTCTCCTTGCAAACGAACATTAAATCACAGCGGCCGCTAGCAAGCGACAAGCCTGACTGCTAAGAAACTAGTTCTTGGAGACTAGCCCCCTTCCTACTCTGAACGAATCTGTATATGTGCAGAAAGGACAGGGAAGGGGAAACGAGGAGGGAGCCGAACCGGGGTGGGTGGGGGCTCCCCTCTGCCCTGTATAACTGCAGGAAGAGCTGAGAGCTGATCTTCCTTCCCGCAGCCTTCAAGAGTCTGCAGTTGGGTTCCTTTGCTCCCTGCCGAAAGGGGAGCATTCCCACCCACCCTGAAATCCCTGGCTGCAGCTTTGAATAGCTTCCTTATAGACTTCCATGATTTTAAGTGGATTGGCTGGCATCCTTTGACAGCAGATTCTGTTTGGTAGGGAAGTAGATAGTGACAGCTAGATTCTGTCAGAGAGGGAGTACAGGTAGAAACTGTAGGGCATCACATGTGTGTCTTCTGGGGTACAGGAAATACAGTTATCTAACTCCACCTTAGGAATGTTTTCTGGCTGCTTACAGAATGTTTTGTGTGTGAAAGTGGACTGCGTCTTCAGTGGTGGTGGTTGAACCCTGTTAACATTTAGAGGCAGTTCAGCTACCCCTGTGATGTCCGTTTCAGCAGGAAAGGCCAGCAGCTGTGTGGAAGATTGTGGCTGTAGCAGAGCTCGGTTGAGCACTCTCCTAGTCTGGGCTTGCCTGTTTGCATTGATATCTGTGTCTCCCAGGCTTGGAGGCAAAGTCTGCAGATAATATGTTCTCCCACTAGTTAGGAAGCCCTGTCCCAGTTCCCTTGGGTTCCGTGGACTGAGCACCAGGCAAAAGGCCCATCCATTTTTTGTATTACACATAATGCAGCTGATACTTTATTCTCTTACCCGCAATACCTTTTTTTTTTTAAAGTCACAGGGATGGTCCTGTCAGCCACTCCCACAGTTACGTGTGTGAGTGTTCTGGGAGCACCTAATCCTATGGCACTGGTGACTTTGAGAAGCACTACTTGTGATTAATGCTTGCATGGGAGACTGCTGTGTAAGCCACTCTAAAATTCCTAAAGGGAGAACAGCTTAGAAATTCTAAAAAGAAGTTTAGGCACGCATGTGTGCTTTCCCAAATGTGCATCCCAATGCAGATGGTCTGTCCACAGTCTGTTGCTTTTCAATATAATGTGCTGATGTGCATTCAGCTGCACACTCCACTGAAAGCAATGTGGTGTGGATAGGCCATCTGCACTGGGGGTGCCCATCCCCCTTCCACTGGGTTTGATTCCCTGAGGGGGTGGGAGTGAGGCTGGGAGGCTGCTCACCTAACAGTGTGCATCCTCTATGGGCAGTGATGAGGCATGGGGGGGGGTCTGTTGGCTCTGTGCAGCTGGAATACCCAGCGAGGCCATGTTGACATTGGCCAATACAGTTTCCCCCTCCCCCAGCCTTTCAGCATGCAAAGAACAGCCCCCCTTGTCCATTGCCTAAGTCAGTTAAGTGTGTGCGAATCTCTGCGCTAGCAGACGGACTGTACCACAGGGCCTAGGCTTTTCTGAAGTTGGGTCTGCTAAGCTTGCTGCTTTGGTGAGATGGGGACAGAATCCAGTTGAGGCAGTGATTGTCTGTGGTTTAGGAGGTCACAGGTCTAGTCGCAGAGACTTCTTTGTCTCCTTTCAGGAACCGTGTGCACATGAATGAATGCAGAGTGCATTTTGACATGTCACTTTGGAATTTCTGATTGTACAACATGCTAGATAACATTCTCCTGGATACATGGATGGACTCATGGGGTAGGAGCACCGCTGATGCTTTCTTTGTAGGGAATTTGATGCTTTTAAGCCTGAGCGGGCATCACCTCAGCCAGGACCATGGGGGTTGCAGCCATCTTTCTCAAAAGCTGTTTTATATCAGATGGTCTGATTCAAGAGCATTGGAAAACCACCTTCTTAGGTCTACAGGGATTCAGACTTCTCTGTCCAGTGTAGCCACTAATCTGTTTTCCAAATTTGAGCAAATCCCTCCTCCTTTCTCCATAATGGTCTAAAATATACAGTCTGTCAACAGAGCTGGAAAAAAGATCAGGATGTTAGATTGTCACTAGGTGCCTGTCACTCAATGATAAATGTATCTTTTTTTCCAGCTGCCATACAGTGAAATCAGTAGAGTGCAACATTATAACTAGATTTTGAAAGAAATCTTCCAGTGTTTGGCAGGATATGGCATAGCTGCCTACTGTGCAGTAAAAAGCTTCAATCTACTTACCTACCTTGCAGTCACCAAACAATTAAGAGAGAGTGATGATGGTGGTTTCTCAGAAATCCATGTGCCTATGAGTTTTGCACCATCAGCTCAGCCACAATCCTAGAAATCAAATGAGTTTTGCTAGATTTCTCACCCCCAATGGATGGTGCAAGTTTTGAGCTTTGATTTTTTGTAGAAACAATATTGTGGGCAGTACTGGTGTCCCACTTTTACTTTTAAAAGAGGGTGTTTCTTAAGGAGCCAGGTTTCTCTTTAAGAGCAGAGAAGCTGTGAGCAAAGAAGTGAGGTTGGACATTTTCTGTTGAAACAGAGGAAATGCTGTGGATTCTCTCATTCTGAGTTGAGTAAAGAAATAAAGGAGGATTCTTAGGGAAGAGTTGTATGCAGTGCCTGCCATCTTCATTCTCCAAGAAGCTCAGCACATATGGATATACAGACAACCACCCTGTAAAGTAGATTTGGCTGAGAGTGCATGTCCCCCAGCTTGCTTCATGGCCAGTGTGAGGATTTGAACCCAGGTCTTTCAGTCTCTAATCTCTATACAGGGCCTCTTACTGTGAACTGAAAGGGAGAGGATGAACTGGTGGAATATGGTTTGATGTGATCAGGATAGGTGGGAGTAAGAAGGAGAGAGAAATGAGGATAATTAGTGATAAATTGATGGAAGGAAAAGGAAAGCTAAGAGGAAGCGAGGCCCATGCAAAAATGAATGTGTGGCTGTCTAAGCAACAAGGAAATGTGAAGATAAGACAGGTGTAGTCAATATTCTGTAAGCTATATTTCTAAGCCGTATTTAAGCAGTTGTGATCATATCAAATCAGTGAGTGGCATATGGGACTTCTGTCTTGATAGCAGGCATCATAAGTAGCCAAAGCTCAAGCATTGTCTTTTTTTTTTGGCATTTAAGGTATATCAGCCCTGTGCCCCAAAATCTAAGTTCTCAGGTCCCTGCCACACGGCAGAAAAAAACCCGGGCAAAGTGCGGCTAATCAGAGCCGCACCAAAATAGAGATGCCGTGGCGGGATCCCACGGATCCCCTGAGCCACGGCGCATGTCTGAGCATGCGCAGTTCGGCCAGGAGCCAGGGATGCGCTGGCGGAAGGACGTGCCGGCGATCCCACGGCCGGCCTTGATGCGGACTTGCCGGAAGAACCACCTCGGTAGGTGGTTTATTTTTGCCGCGGCGTTTTGGGCGGAAGGGCCGGATCGGGGACGGGTGCGCAACGCTTCCCAGATGTTGCAGTGGGATCGCATCCGTTTGCTCCGCCCCCAATCCGTCCCTCTCCCGGCCCAAAACCTCTCGTGTGACCGGGGCCTCAGGTAGATTAGAAAAAGGATGGACCTGCTTGTGCTTTTACTTGGTGAGAGCTTGCTTGTTCCATCACAGCTTCAGGATTTTTTAAGAACACCCTTTTTTCTGTTGACTCAAATGAGATGGAAGAACTTTCTTTTTGTATCTGCAGAAGACATGTGACCTGGAAGAACTAATGTGTCATCTAGATTTGTGTAGCAATCTAAAGCTGAGGGAATCTTTCTGTTGCAGTGAGCACAGCAGGTGACTTTGTAACCCATTTTCACCAGGTGCACTCCTATTGTGATGCAGCCAGTTCTGTTCATGCAGGGAACCCAGTGCTTGTTAATTGCCCCTGAGATGGGCAGTCTCATAAAACCCTTTGCCACCTTTTGCTGATTTAGCTGTTGCTGACTTTTTGGTTTCCAGCATTGCTCAAACCCCCCCCCCCCCACTGCATTGTTAAGTCTGGGAGTTTCCTGGCACTAGATGAGATGAAGGGGAGACACAGCAGCAGCTCTGACCCTCAGGATGCCAGACAGACTTCAGTTAGACTAGTTCTCCCTAGTCAAAGGGAGTTGTGATATACAGAGAAAAGGGAATTGGAGAAGGAGCAAGTCCAATGCACAGGGGGATGGGAAAAGATGTGGATGGGTTTTTTTTTTTTTTCCACAGGGGAATCCACTACTGCCTATGGGAACTACATTGCTGAGTGCCTCTTAAACACATGGCATTAGTACCCATGGAGTTTTTCTTGCATTTCCCTGCCTTACAGGGGTCCACAACATTCCTGTGGTTTATGGGCTGTGCTCCCATGATACAACACTTATTTACCTTGACTTCCAGAAAGCTTTTG